CCATCAAAGCTGCGAGATCCCGAGACTACAGCACAATGGGAACAACAGTTAACCATATAAATATGATGAGCTAACTCAGGCAGAGAGCAGTGTAACTGTAGATGATGCATCTACTGGGCTGAGGATGAAGATTGTGGGCAGACTTAATGTAGCCACACAACCAAGAGCACAACTCTCCCGGCTCCCTGAGTCTCATCAGAGGAGATCCTCACAGAGAACAGAGCTCTGCTCACCATCTCTAATACCAGCATCACAGACACCAGTAAGCTCATATATGCCACTGCCACACTTGGATATAAGATTAAAAATGCATGTAGAAAAAAGAAGAAGGCTAGAAAGCAAACTCAGGGAAGACTAGAAGGATGTTAGTCGGCTAACAGAGGTGAAAAGGGCATCGTAAGAGACAGGTCCTGGACAAATAAGAAATACAACAAGATATCTATAAATAAAGTTCTTGAAACCATCAAAAAAGGCTCACAGCTTTGGCCACTAGGCTGAAGAGATGCATCACAGAAAAGGTGTACTCCCACTGCAAAGAAACAGTAGTAGAAGATCAGACCCACACAGAGCTGTGACTGAGCAGTACTGGAGGAATATGTATAAGAAAGGTGTCACACAATATCAATATCATGGACTAAGAGCAGACCAAAATAACCTCCCAGAACAAGAATCAGTCACCTTCACAAAGGCCGGCATCCAAAAACTCCAGAAAGAAGAGCTGGAGAGCACCAGGTCCTAACAATGCCTACTGGCTGAAGAAGCTAAAGACATTCATTCAGTGATTGCCTGGTGGCACAACTAAATAGGCTGCTAAAAGCAGGTACTCATCTGGACTGACTAACACAAGGCAGAGCAATAGCGATCATGAAGGAGCTCCTCAAGGGTATAACACTGTTGAACTACTAGCCAACTGCCTGCTTTTTCACAACATGGTAGCTCCTCTCAAGTATCATAGCAACCAAGCTGATTAAGCACATGAATCATTACATGAGCACTGGGCATTGAAAACAACACCAGAGGATCAAATGACCAGCTTCTGTTAAACAGAGCAGTACACCAGGACCCTAAGACCAGGCAGACTAACCTGAGCACCACCTGCATTGACTACAAGAAAGCCTACGACTCCCTCCCACCACCCACAACTGATCTATAGGTTTCTTCCTGTAGAGGGGAGTTTTTCCTTTCCACTGTTTCCAAGTGCTTGTTCATCGTGGGCTTCTGATTGTTTGGGTTTTCTCTGCTTTACTCTACATTGTAAGGTAAAGACTACAATAATACAAAGAATCTTGAAGTAACGGTTGTTATGATTTAGCACTGTATGATTAAAATTTAATTCAATTGAAAATAACAAGATGTACTGTCCCCACTGCTCTTCTGGATGGCATTACCTTGGCCTCCAGTAACGCTGTGAGGAACCTTGGAGTCATTTTTGACCAGGATATGTCCTTCAATGCACATATTAAACAAATGTGTAGGACTGCTTTATTTGTACTATATCTCTAAAATTGGAAATATCCTGTCTCAGAGTGATGCTGAAAAACTATTTCATGCATGTTTTACTTCCAGGCTGGACTACTGTAATTCATTATTATCAGGATGTCCTAAAAACTCCCTGAAAAGCCGTCAGTTAATCCAAAATGCTGCAGCAAGAATACTGACAGGGACTAGAAAGAGAGAGCAGATTTATCCTATATTGGCTCCTCTTCATTGGCTCCTCACATACAAGGTCTTAAATAATCAGGCCCCATCTTATCTTAATGACCTTGTAGTACCATATCACCCCATTTAGAGCACTTTGCTCTTGCACTGCAGGCTTACTCGTTGTTCCTAGAGTATTTAAAAGAAAAATCAGAGGCAGAACCTCCTGTCAGTTTTCAGGCCTCTCTTCTGTGGAACCGGCTTTCAATTTCGATTCAAGAGAGACACTATCTCCACTTTGAAGATTAGGCCAAAGCTCTTGCTCATAGATGATTGTTGGGGTTTTCTCTTTTGTATTATTGTAGGGGCTACCTTACAATATAAAGCACCTTGAGGCAACAGTTGTTGCCTCAAGGTGAGGCAATCAGAGGCAATAGGTCTTATGAAGTAATAAGTTCAAATTTGGAATTATAAAAAAATATTTTCAGAAAAGGTCAGGTGAAATGTATAATAGTAGTTGTTTACAGGGAGTTGTATTAAAAAAAAAAAAAAACTGGAGCTCTGTCATGGTTTGGTGGTACATTTCAGCCAGTAGGGTTGGAGATCTGGGCCTTATTTCAGGAAGCCGGTTTAGAAAACGTAGTGAAAAACGATACTCAGGGTTGAGTAACCCCAAACTGTCCAACTCGGAATATTCGGTTTCAGAAAGGCTGATAACAATT